AATTGGCACTGATTAATAGAAATAAGCACTCTATGGTGCTACGTTTTCAGATTCATTTCAAATATTACAGAAACAGTGACCATCTACAAAAGATAAATTATCGCCTCTGTGTCCATAACATTGTATATTTCTTACCCCCTAAAGTGCAAACCATTTTCATGCATATCCGTAATAAATAGTTACACGATAATTGTAGTTGCAGATTGGTTTTACCTTTTACAATCTCATTATATATGCAGTTTTATATTGTATCTGGACATGTAACAAACCATTAACTTATTATCAAAATTTAATTTTGCAAACAAATCAGGATATACAAAAGAAAACGTGCAGTTTATAATACATGAAATTGATGAATAGTGTATAAGGAAAATTAACCATGAAAGGACCTATAGCTGCATAGCAGGATACGTGAGTAAACTTTTTTTGTTGGCGCTATATAATTTTATTGCGTCATAGTCGTGTATAAAAGGTGGCAATCAGCAGAGTATTTCAAAGACTTTCATATACTGACGGCATTTTGATATGCAATAAAATGAGCAGCAACCTGGTAAGACATGACTGCTTCATTGGTCGACATGCCGAGGGCAGTACAGATGTGAAATGATAGGAAGTGTTGTTGAAAATTAAATGAACATACAACGCAATACGCCGATTTTTTTTAATTTTTTTTTTTATTTAGAACTGCTTAATCAAGCTTCATCATTTTGCGGGACTTAGGAAAATGAAAACGGACCCAGGGTCTCGATATCTGTTACATTGCATATTTGGAAATAAATATTCCTGTTGTCAAATGTACATATGGGTGACTCATGTGTGTTTATGGTTGATTGAATACATATACTGAATTACTATTAATCAAGTTAACTTATTTCTTATTTGTCATGAATGTCCTCCTCGAATTAAACAAACATTATAGTCAAATTTCTGATAGCTCAGACCAGTGTATTTATAAAGAACTTTACTATAATAAAAAAGAAAACAATATGAATACAACTCGAATATATCTGTAAAAGTATATATGAGGTTGAATATACAAAACAGACAGTCAAACTCTTTAGTCGAAAATGAACTGGCAACCCATGGCAAACATCGGAACATATTTTATTAGCTACTCACAACATTCCACACAACACAACATAGAAACTACCGACTGAGCAACACGAAACCTACAAAAAAAAAACGGGAGCGATATCAAATGCTTTGGAAGGGCAAAAGATCATGTTCCATATTTGACATCCGTCGTTTTGCTTATTTAAGTACAAAGCCGTTGCTACATTTGATGCGGTAGGTACTTTCCAAAAAAGAGAACCAGTTTGTTTTTACGATTACTTTAATATATCCATCGTGATCTGGGAAGCAGATAATTCATTAAGTTCAACCAAATTGTAATTTTTTTTAACTTCATAATTTAGCAATGTTTTTCTTACAAGCTTCTTTTTAAGTAGAAATGCTTTATCAAGGACATCAGGAAATTCAAGTCCTGAAAGAACAAAGTACTATAATTGAATACATGATCGTGTTTTGTGTTTTAGTTAAGATTTTAAATTTGAAATACTATTGTTATGTGTTGCTGTTGTGATTGATTTTTTCAGTATGCTTTAGAATGATGCAAATTGTGTTGCAGTGTTATTTGGATTCTGTCTAACTGACTCATACAGAAGATTTTCACTATTCAAATGAAAAAGAAATGAAAGTAGTCAAGTGGCTTTGATCGTCTTGTTCTCATTTCATTCACAGTATAAGTTAATTGCAACATTGGATTCAGTATAGAAATCTAAAGTTCAATAGTAAACAATGTGAGACAAATTAAAAAGTGTTGTTATGCTTTCATAAAGACGGTAGATTATGTTTGCCACGAAAAAGCACATATTTTGACAGAAAATATTAACTTCTGGTTTTAAACGTCATTTCTGACACTTAATGCTGATTCCAAAATGCATGGTTTCTATATACTGTTGTTTAAAATAAGGGCATACGTGGCTACTTCAGGTTTGAAAACAATCGCTTCGGGCTTAATATGATTGGTTTCTTGACACAAGTTTCCAAAAACATATGGTTTTAGTTACTTTTACGAGATCCTCGAAAGAACAATACACTGCAACAACAAAAAATTGACATAACAAAAATAATTTGAACGAAATCAAATGTTGTTTCTCCGGTAAAGTGGAAATACTTAAAAGAAAAATTACTGTAAAAACTATATCATCTAAACATTTTCAAAATGCGCTATACGATAACGGTACAGAAATGTATATAAATAAAATATAAATATAAAAGATGTTTAAAATAGCCTTGACAATTATGTATCTTTGATGCTAATAAATTGACGATAAAAACTTACTCAATATAAGCGGACTGATCATAACAGCTACATGTATGCTGAATTATCTTCATTTAACCCCATGTATTAGTATCTGATGCGTTCATGTGACGTTTAGTATTATTTTACTCGAAACATCTAAATTAATAATGCTCAGCTGGTCTGGTAACACGCGACAAATATGCTGTATATCGAAAAAAAAAAGCCACAAGCTAAAAGTAGTCATAAAGGGTTACATAAACATCTGAAATAATTGTAATTTGTACAACGTTTTTCACCGGGGGTTTACCTCAGATACAGCTGGCGGAAGCACGTGTATAACTGTTCATCTTCGAATAAAATGTTTAAATGATTGCCTATTGTATACTTAATTTTTCTTTTCAAAAGATAAATTATCGCTTCTATGTCCGTACCATTGCATTTTTGTATCTTTTCGTGTTAGTACCGTTATCATCCTTGTAGTAAAAAGTGATAAATAACCGCAACTTGGTCCAACCTTCGACCATCTCATTATATTCGTAGTTTTCAATTATACCTGTACATGTAACAAAATATTAATATATTTTTAAAATTTAATTTAGAAAAAAAACAAGGATATAGAGCTTGGACCGTGCATTTCCTAAACATTTAAAATATATTACGTAATTAGTCATGAAAAGACCTTTAGCCGCAAAACAGGATACTACAGTTCACTTGTGTGCCGTCATTCTATTTCTTTTCGTCACAGTCGCGTATAAAAGGTAGAAAACTGCAGAAAATTTCAAACCCTTGAATACATTGACGATTATCTGCTATGTAAGTACATTTTAAGTCATTCGGTGTAGAAAATGCCTATTTTTGAAAAATTTTAAGAAAGTATGTCAAGTTTATTATGGAGCAAAAAGAGGTATTTTTAAATTTTAAGAAAGCAAGCGACGTTTGTTATGGAGCAAAAAGAGGTTCCGCGGTTCATGGAAATGAAAAACGTCAATAGCATTGATATTTATGTTTATGATAAACATAAAATGACATACAGTATCTGAAAATGATGAGGAGTTTTCATTTGTGTTCATTGGTTTTTAACTTGGATGTATTAACCTTTAGGTGTTATACATGACTGGTGGCTCCTATATTCAAATGGTAACAGTTTTCTTACAATCGGAAAGTTTGTGGAAAATCCTCGCGACACATGTTTTGCACACTTTATATAATATGAAGAGCTACTATAATACTAATGTCAATGAAATCATTAGAAATCGATCGGATGATTATGATGATGGGTGGCTGTTAAACGTCCAGTTGCAAATTGCAGAGGTCAAGAAAATTTTCTCGTAATATACCTTGGGGTATCACCCGCCCAGTATTAACCCACTTCTGTTATTAGCATTGATATGATCAAATTATAAATGAACTATTTACAAAAGTGTTTTTCTAAATTTCTACCCAAGGAATGGATAATCTTAGATGCATGCGGCAAAAGTTACCGGAGTTTTGGTCCTCCATACTCTTCAACTTCATTCTTTATTTGGCTTTTTAACTTTTTTTCAATCGATCGACACTTATAAGACTGTTTCGTCACTTTTTATATTACTGAATATGTATACATTTAATAAAGCTTTCTAATTCTCATACTGTCGATACTTAACACTTTGGTACGTTTGCTTAAAACTAGCGTTTAGTTACTGCGAGTACTCACAGATCGGTCCTTTGTGTCTTTTTGTTTTGCTATTTTAAAATTATTTTTTTTGTATATCTACTTTTTAAATTGTTTCCATTTGTTGTTTAGTAGATACATAAGGTCGTTAGTTTTTCCGTTTGAATTGTTTCACATTTTCTTATGTGGAGGTTTTTTGATAGCTTGATGCGGTATGGGTTTTGCTAACTATTGAAGAACGTAAGATGGCCTTTAATTGCTAACATGTACATCATTTGGTTATTAGCAATATTCTTCTTTTATATTAGTTACAACTAAATAATTTTCACGATAATTTAAATCCTTGGGAAATGATAATCTGAATAGAAAGTATCTAAAGTTTCTAACGAAATTGCAATAGTTACCCTAGTACAATGTAAAAGAAAATTATTTTAGTAAAGAGACACTCACTATCTTAAACTGCAATGTTTTCTGTTTTAGAGCTTATTCATTTGTAAATGTTGCAAAATTTGGTATTATTCAAGATACAAGGACTATAAAAAAAATATTTTCCCGAACCGATGTCGCTTATGGGCCATGTTTGTACCCATCAACCGTATGTACAGTTAACCTTACTTCCTTTTACCAGTGCATGATATTTGCCATGAAAAAAATTGTTGCAAAAGCCCTGTATAAAACAATGGAACTAGCGGTCAGTTTTCATCGGTGGAAGAAGTCGAAGTGCCTAAAGAACCACTGACCTCCAGCAGGAAAACTGATAATTCTAGTCAGTTAACTTCGAATCGACTGAACCTGACACGTGCGGGGTTCAAAAGCACAACCTTGGAATTAACAGACTATTTGTAAAGTAGATGACCTACTTCGACCGTTCGGCCACCGAGGCTCCCTGAAAGCATATTGAAGACAAGTTTTTTTCATTGTATGTATTTGATGGTTCTGCTATTTCTATTAAAATATTTCATCTTGATTTTGTAGAAAATTATTGCCTTTATTACAAATAACGACTTATGTATTGAAAATGTGTATATTTATTGTAGAGAAAATAACGAAGAATGCAAGTTTCTGTTTATTTAATAGTTTGTCTGTTTTTAGTGTCCGTTGGAGGTAAGAACACATACGAAGTTCTTTTAGATTTAAAGTTTAATTATCTTCTGAAACGCTTTTCTCCTTAAATAAAGGCAACAGTAGTATACCGCTGTTTAAAAGTCATAAATCGATTGAGAGAAAACAAATCTGGGTTACAAACTAAAACCAAGAGAAACACATCAACTATAAGAGGAAAACAAAGGACCAGCAGGAACACTGAGGTGCAACAAAAAACAAACGTGAACATACATAGAAACGAACTTTTTGGTAACAACTGCCATATTCCTGACTTGGTACAGGACATTTTAAGAAAAAATGGTGGATTGAACCTGGTTTCACGGCTAGCCAAACCTCCCGCTATTTAAATCGTATGAAAACAGTATCAAAACATGAGCTTGCATATAAAGGCCTAATAAAAATATTTCACTAAATTATTAACAGGACAAAAGTTTCTGTATTGACGCTTTGATGGATTTTCGTGTTGTGACTATTGAACTCTTACAATGCAGATACCATTTGTTCTTCTGATTTATAAGCCTACATAATAAAATTCCCGTAAATGGTGGTTTCCTCGATTTCGATAAAATCATGTTTAAAAGAGTAACAGAGGAGGTAATTAGTTACATATACATGAGACAGCTACCACATTTTTGCAAGTTTATTATAGCGGGGAACGTAGAAAAGGGGGGTGGGTGAATTCCATATAATGTCGACGTGTTGTATGATGCAAGATATATTACTCGGTCACGTTGATAAATATAATATCACTTTAATTCCAGTCAATATGGCATCTGGGGACATGCTAGAAGAAAATGGACTTATACATGAGTAAGTTTAGTCGTATGTTGTGAGTATGCCAATAAATGGAGTTTATATTTGAATGCGTCGTTAAATTGTTGGATTTGTCTGTTTGAATACAGTTAATTTGATTAGAAATTATCAATTACCAAAAGAGATCTTCCCTTGGAAAAAATCCTCACTGTTTTAATTGAAGTAACTTACCTATGGTCTAAAACAAAAGGCGTGAAATATCGAACTCTTCAAACGAATAGTATAATAAATGCAACGCTTGTTTTTTATTTGATATTCAATGTGCTCTAAAACTTTTCCAAAATTTGGCATGAATTAAAATAAATTTTAATTTTGCGTGAAACATGTTAAACATGTTTAACTGTTTATACAAGTGGATGTAAATAGATAGGGAAGCAAAATTCGAATATCAACATATACCAGAATGGTAAAAAAAACGACTAAAAGTGAACACAGTCATTCAAAAAATCTACAAAGGAGAAAAAGAAACCCATTTAAAACCGGGGATGAACACGTGCACTTAAAATTGGTAGAAAATATTTAAACCTCTAGGCACCCGTCTTATTGCTGAGTGTAAACAAAAGTCATTTCATAAGTAAAACGTGGCTTTGATTTTGTCACAAATCAAAGTAAAAGACATAAACTTAGAAAATTGCATGAATTTCCAAAGATGCGAGACCATTGACGTCGACAAGACAAGTGTCTCTTGCAAGGCAAGTATCACCCGTCAAAAACAAGGGTATCCGAATATAAGACAGCAAAAAAAAAGATGATAATGATACGATAACAGATAAAGCAACGCTCTAAGTAGGGACAAAGAAATCATTTAAACATTAAAACACCTGCCATCAATACCAGTTCTTAACAAGACATACACATCATGAACCTACTATAAAGACGATGTTGATGACTCTGTACATGTGCATGCACAGATGGCGAAGTTTAACTTGTTCATAAGCAGTGGAACATCTGTTACATTTGTGTTATAATAATAAGCGGCTATAGTATCTTGAAACTGACTAAAGCTATCAAATATGTTTCATAGATGCTAGAGGTTGGTTTATTGACGACTTTAATAACAAAGCAAATGTTTACATATACCAAGTATTATGTCAATTGACTCACTGTTTAGTAATGAAAAACAATCCGTTTGAAGAAAATTATGTTTGTTCATTAACTGAATTTATAAAAAAAGTTTAGTCCCTCCTTGTAAATGTATATTGTCATACTTAATTTCTTCATATTTCGTTTGAAAGATTATTTCACATGTATATTCACCATTATTCTATATTTCATTTTTCATTACCACACTGCATTAGTGTACCTTCAACTTTTATGTATTTTTGTTTATTGAAATTGTTTCTTTCTCTGTAAACTTGTATGTGTAGTTTTACGGGATTAAAGTATACATTTAATAATCTTCAACATCATATTAGCCTTACAACGTTTTTAAGTTGACATGGTTATCATTTAATACGTGTACTTTTCGCTTTCCTGTCTCAAACACTGCGATATTAATAAAACTTAGTGTGAATTTAGAGATAAGCATTAATTTAACCAATGACTACACTGTGTGACTTTATTCCTATGTTCTCATTTTTTTTGTTTTCTTGTTTTAGACTTTTTAAAAGGAGTCCTCGGTGTAAAAGACCATGCTATACTAACGATCAGTGTTGTAAGGGTTGGATCTGCTCAAACAGGAAATGCGAGGTCAGGTTGCATACTGGCTAGAGAGTTCGGCCAACCATTTTTTACACGTCCGAGCATACTGAACAGACATACGGAAATATAATGTATTTACATATAGGATTTGTAAAAAATAAATATCAGATAAAATGAGAATAAAATGTGATTTTTCTCGTGCACATTTTTTTTTTGTGTACGATACAAGGACTAGCAAATCCACTTAGAATTGAATTATGATAATCAGTATCAGAACGGGTTAAAATACACCAAGTAGAAAGTATTTTAAAGATAACCCATGCACAAAATTGATATACCGGCATATAGATTCTACCACTGTATCGACAGTGATACGATGTTTCTCCATTCGAAACAATTGTATATTTTAATTCTAAAAGATAAGCGAAAGATACCAAAATGAACTTTAAAACCATTAAGTCGAAAACCAAACGACAACACCATGGCTAAAGAAGAAAAAGACAAACAGACAAACAAAAGCACACAAAGTTCACCAAGCGTTTAAAGTATTTAAAATTGACCTGTCGAGAGTGGAGAATTATCGTACTGTTCGCGATAATAAGCTGGTATAATCTGTTGATTTTTTGACGATATGCACAGTTTATCCTTGCCTTTCAATCATCTGCAAAAACAGATACATTTTGTCTATGCAACGTCACCAGGCACGATGGTCATTTTCCGTGACGTCACAATAGAAAATCCGAGACAAAGCAAGACGATTTGACGTCATAATTGAATTTTGACCAATAGAACTGAGATCAAACGAACCACATGTTGATTAAAAAAGTAATCAACAGGTCAGGAAAAGAATAAATCGCGTCAGAATAAGAAAAAAGCCATTGCCAAATTAGTTGGAGGGTTTTCTAGCTATACAACCAGATTCAAACCTTTATTAGAAGTCGAGAATATGACAGTTATATGTCTATTCGCTCCGTTAGGTGATAGTGTCCAGCTATTTATTTTGACAGGTTTAATTTTAATTGACTTCCAATTTTTAAATATTATCTTAAAGTTCAGTTTTTATAAAAACGTATTTGCTATTTGAAAGTCAAACTGATCGGATTATGCCCTGTAAACGTAAACCCAGTTGAAGGCGTTTTTGAATAAGGAATTAAACAGAGGAAATTGAAACGTGTTATACACTACATATTGACATATATAACGTGTTGTTTCAATTTTTTACAGCACTTGGTCGACACCTCTGTCAGAGTACTTCGGTACTGACTCGATGTTTAACAAACCTTTCTAAAATTGACCGTTTATACATTTTGAAATTATAAAGTTTTTAATTCCTTCAGGCAAAATTGACCTTCGATGGTTTTGGCTATTTTTAAGTCCTTTTTCTTCGTACAGCTCTTCAACTGTTTCGTTTCATATACATCCTTGACCTTTAAAATAATCTGTTTTCAGCGTTCCTGATGAAGGTATTTCAGAAAAGCGCTTCGAACGCATGGAATTTAAACGTGTTGTTTTCATTTTTTTATAGATTTTTATAAATGATTTTAGGTTAACAAATTTTCAGATGAAACTGTCGTAATAAGAGAAGTAACTCTAGAAAATACAGTTTGAATATCAGAAGACAAAATCTTTTGTTTTTGTTTTGAATATTGATCTGGGTTCAAAGATAAACACCAATAAAACAGCACCACAAGCTAGCCAAAACAGTAATCGTTTATCCTCATACTGTTTAAAAAATGGAAGCACACCGCATGATAGCCACCAAATCATCCTGACTGTACGCATGTGGTAATTTAACGAAAATAGCAATATATTATTAGATTTGTAGAATTATTGTATAGCCATAAATGAACACAAGAGATTGCCGTAACAAGCATAAAGAAGGATTTTTCTTTCACAAAATAAACCATTAACAATGCAGAAACCTAGTAACATTAACACAAAACGTTTACCTAGTCAACTTATAATGTTCCTTATGTATACATACAGTTATAGTGTAATAGATAATCTGAATGTGTAATTACATAACAATTAGTCATTCAAATATATCATTATTATTATTATTATACAGTATTTATAACAGCGCATTATATAATATTAAAAATACCCTAAGCGCTTTACAACATATATCCATTCACATATATAAGTATTAACAATAAAATATGAAAGCCCATGTTATAAAATCCTAAAACAAACGGATTTTAAAAATATTGCATATAAAAATACACTATTAAATTTACTTATAAACAATAAAATGTATATAAAATGGGCATGGTAAAATTAAGGAGATATTAAAACCGTACCAATAAAAGTAAGTTAAAAATTCAAAAATAATTGCTTAAGAATTAAAAAATTACAATGAATAGAAATATTTTAAGAACTTTGAAATGCATGTCTGAATAAATGAGTTTTTATGTTTTTCTTAAAAATGTTCACAGAATGGATTTTTCGTAGATCACTTGGCAAATCATTCCACAGAACGGCTGCCGCTTTGTCGAATCTTCTTTCCCCAAATGTTTTAGTTCTCACACGTTGCGTTGTTAAGATCATGGCATTTTCAGATCTAAGTGCTCGCATTGGTTTGTATATATGAACGAGTTCTTGTAGGTAGACAGGTGCCTCCTCGTGCAAAGCCTTGAACACATACATAAGAAGTTTATATTGGCTTCGATACGTTACGGGCAGCCAATGGATGGACTTCAAGATTGGTGTGATGAGGTCGTACTTCTTCTTCCTTGTAATGACCCTGGCTGCTGTGTTTTGGACTCGCTGTAATGTTTGAATAGATGTTGCTGGGATTCCATACAGCAATGCGTTCCCACAATCTAAACGAGAGGTAACAAGAGAGTATTTTAACGTTTTGCATGCTTCTTCGGTAATAAATGGACGAATTCGTCCAATGTTTTTGATCTGATTAAAACATGATTTTGAAACAGCACTTATTTGTTTGTCCATTGTCAAAGTTTTCTCAAAATAAATGCCTAGGTTTTTTACACACTCAGCATCACTAACAACGTTTCCACCAAAATTGAGATGCAAGTCTGAAAGGTCCTTCACTCGGTTTTTTTTAGCAAATACTATCAGTTCCGTTTTATCCTCGTTTAATTTTTACATATTCAAGCACATCCACTTGCTGATGTCAGCTACGCAAGCCTCAATTCGCTTTGCTATGTTCGTCCAATTATCAAGTGGGTATATATATAAATCATGACAAATAGTATTTCATCGTCTACAAATAACAAAAAATGAGTTATATTTCAAACCAATTAATGATTTCTTCCTTCAAACAGCAACTTTTTCTTGTACAATTAATTTCAATATGGCGATTTTGACTAACTCCTCTACACACACGTATAGTTTGTTAGACATTCCTCTGTATATAATTTTGGGATGTTTTTTTTCGGTTTTTCATTCCCCTTAAACCAGCATTACTATTCGAGCAAATTAAGATCTGCAACGGTAATTTTGATATGAAAATCCCTTAAAAGACTGAACAATAGATCATTACGTCATTTTCATTTTTTCAGTCAATTTTTGGACTTATACATTGTATTAGATAAAGTGCTGTTGAGCCATTTTGCTTGCAGTCAATTGAGATCTGCTTGGTCTATGTTCAGACTGTTCAGAAGCCGCTAGTTACATGTACACATCAATATCCTACTGAATGTCAAGAAAAGCTACTGAACAATAAAGAATTGACTTTAAGCAAACTATCTGAAGAGTAGTGAATTACTGCAGTGGATAAGTCTGAAAATTAATTGAAAGATGAACATGACTGCAAAATTTATTGTTCAGGCTTAACAGATGTTGTTAAGATCAAAATGACCGTTTAAGACTAATTCATATACTAGTGCATGCCTCATATTGAAATGAAGTTTTAATAATCAATGAAGAAATGTTGCATTTTAAGCTAAACATGCGCTGCATCAGTGGTGCTTGAATCAAAACAGTTTGATTGTTAAATAACAGAAAAGAGGGTGAAGCACATTCAAAACCCATAACTTTCAAAACTTTGTGCTCATCTGGTTTCGACAAATATAGGAAGAGAAAACAACAGAAGCGACATAAGTATCTACTTTATACATTAAATGTTACTTAACAATGGTATTTGTACGTATGAAGCGTCAACTACATGTTACTTATACCTTTCAAGCGTCATTTCAACATACATTGTACGTATGAAAGTGAAAATTATTAATTTGGATTGTCTTTCTTTTCCCAAAATAATTTTTAGACCGTTAAACAGGTGAAAACTTATGTATTACGAACTTAATCACTGACTTTGCATACGTAAGATGGTAAGTCGGTGATTGTTTGACAGATTTAAATTTGTTTGACAGTAAGCTAAAAAATACGATTTTTATAGATAAAATGAAATATATCAGTATCTTTTAATTTAAAGTTGACATATTTGATACATTTTTTTCCAAATTGATTATTTACGCTTTCGGTGAAGACGACATTTGTATTTTTACAATTTCAGTTGTTACGTTAATGTGCAATGTTATTTGTCAACCGATGAACATTTACTTAGATTACTAAAGGATCTTTGTAGAGTCCCCTGTCATCAATTCCAATCTTTTTAAATGCGTTGCAGCACATACTACAGGAAATCGAACAAACTTAGAAGTTTTTGCAAGGAAATGAATCAAGATTTTATAATTATAAGGAGTCAAAACGGATAAAAGAAAATGTAGCTGATGGCTGCTAAATTATTATTTTTTTTTGCTTTCTGAAAGTTTATTTTCTTTCATGTTGAAAGAGCAAGAGCCATTACAACATATGAAAAGTAAATTTGCAGAAAAGTCAGTCATACACTGGTACACGATTTCATATCACATTCATTTTTTTTAAAGTCTAAGAGAAAAGCCATTTTCAATTAATGTTTTATAGTGCGTCTTTTCTGTTTGTAATGTTATACTGCTGTATCAGGTTTAGGGTGAAGGTTGGCGCCTGTTAAAACGTTCAAACCCGCTGCATATATTATATGCACCTGTCCTAAGTCAGGAATCTAAGTCAGGAACAGTGCTTGTCGTTTGTTGGTATGTTTAATAAATGTTTCTCGTTTCTCGTTTTGTAAAATAGATTAGACCCTTGGTTTTCCT